AAGAAAGAAAGAAAGAAAGAAAGAAAGAAAGACGAGAAAAGCAAAACAAAATCTAAAAGAAGTAATCACGGAAGACTGAAGCGCAGACAAGCTTCTGTTGCTCACTCCACCACTCCATCCCAGTGTGCCTGGCTAACCCCACAAGCCTCTTCTCCCAAGTGCCTCTGCACCTAACCCGAGTGCCTCTGCACCTAACGCAGTACTAAAGGGCAAAAAACTGTCTGATGACAAAGGCCACCTTGCCATTTGCATTAGCAGACACTTGTCTCTATGCAGCGTAAAGAAACTTTGTAATAAAACTCAGTCAAATTGCAAGCAGGTTCCTAGGTTCTGAAGACTACCAAATTGGTTACTTCTAGGTCTTCTAGTCAGTATTACATTTGAAGTAGAAGAAAAACTACTCTCCGGCTGGGGAGATGGCTGGGGGGCGGGGTGGGGGAGTGGGGTGCTTGGCACACAAGCCTGAAGATCTGAGTTCAGGTCCCAGAACCCATGGAAAAGTCAGACACAGTATCAAAAGCAGATCCCAGACCACCCACAGGAAATGGGAAGTGGAAACTGGACATTCCAAGAAGTTAATGGGGCCAGGTGAGCTGACTCATGCCACTGATACCAGCACTTAGATCTCCGTGAGTTCTAGGCCACCCAGGGCTACACAGTGAGACCTATCTCAAAAGGAGGGCTAGATGGCTGGTTGGCTATACAGTGAAAAGCCGCCTCAAACAAGGAAAAAGACAGGACCAACCTGAAGCTCATCCCTTACCTACACACAGATCATGGCATACAGATGCCTACCCCACACAAACACACACACCATGAATATAAACAAACAAGTAAACATTATTACTCTTATATATAACCTACCAAGAACTTTCTAAATTTGCTATTTCTAAGGAAACAAACATAGTAAGGTTAAAAATGCGAAGTACTTACAATTGCAGCTATTTCAGGTGAGGTCCCAGTATGGGTAGAAACAAAAATGATAGATGCCAATAGAAATACACACCCTGTTCCCAGGGTGATGTAAAAATCCTATACATGTAGAGAAACCAAGAACACAATAGGTTAGAAAAGCAGACACAAAGTTTAACATTTTTAATTTCAAAAACCCTTGAACGACTTACATTTTCTTGGTGCAACCCAAATTTAAACATGCTAGCCAGGTACCTTTTCAACAAACCTGCATGCAAACACTATCCACTTTAAGTTGAACATAATAGTATATCACAAAAAAAAAAAATGTTTTTGAGGGTTGGGGATTTAGGTCAGTGGTAGAGAGCAGGCCCTGGGTTCGGTCCTCAGCTCGGGGAGGGGGGGGCCACTGGGGGGGGTTATGAGCCAGGGGCATGTAGCCCTGGCTGTTCTGTAACTCAATATATGAACCAGGTTGGCCTTGAACTCACAGAGCTCTAACCATTTGCCTCTGCTTCCTGAGTGCTAGGTGCATATGCCACCATACCTAGCCCATTTTCATTTTTGAATAGGTTTTTCTTTTTCTTTTTTGGTGTTACTAAGGAGTGGACCTATGGCCTTGTGAATGCTAGGCAAATACCACCACTGAGCTAAACTTTTGTTTGGTGGTTTTATGCTTATTTTTCACAAGTTCCCCCGTAGCCCAGACTAGCCATTAACTTCTGATCCTCCTGCCTCCACCTTTCAAATGTTGGGATTACCATGCCTACCTAGGACAAACATCTTGATAAAGAAAAATGCACTATTGGGGCTGAAAAGATGTCTCTCCAGCCTCCTATTTTTTTAAAAAAGAAAGATGCAATGTTCAATTGAACATAGCTTCTAAAGGCAGACTACTTCAGTTCAAATCCAAGCTATATCACTTTCTAATCACCTAACTTCTTGTTTCTTTTTGTGTTTTGGTTTTTTGTTTTTTTGTTTTTTGTTTTTTTTTTTTTTGTTGTTGTTCGTTTCTTGTTGTTTCTTCAAGATAGGGTTTCTCTGTGTAGCCCTGGCTGGCCTGGAACTCACAGAGATCCACCTGCCTCTACCTCCCAAGTGCTGGGATTAAAGGTGTGCGCCACCACCGCCTGGCTTCTTGTCTGTTTCTTATTGTTAGTGTGTGTGTGTGTGGGGGGGGGTGGCATGCCATTGCCTGTGTGTGTAGGCCAGAGGGAAACCTTGTGGATTAAGTTCTCTTTAGAACCTGACTGCTAGGATTACAGACATGTAAAACCACAAATCCCCATCAGTTTGGGGGATGGTGGTGTTGTTTTTGTTGTTTGTTTTGCATGTATATGTGTGCGTATGTTGAGGCGGAGGTAGATGTCTTTCCCAGATGTTCTCCACCTAATATCAAGGCAGCATCTCTGACCGGAACACAGCTCACTGCCTTGGCTAGTCCAGTCTATCTCTGGCACTGGTATCCAGTATCCAGCACTGGGAAAAGATGTGGTCATGCGTGAGTGCTGAGGACGCATATCCCTGTCCTAATATCTGTGAAGTGAGTGTTTTACCTGGGAGCCATCTTCCCAGCCCCATTTCCCGACCTTTTTAAGACAACAGATTCCTACAGAATAAAATTTGTGAGGTACAAAAAGGAATACGGCTTCAATAGTTCTCCAGCACCACAGAGAAGACAGAGAAAAGTATATTAAGCATACGATCAGTTCCTGACCTTATGCCAACTTCTCATCATTTAAAATGTAAGAACCATATGGCTTCTTTATACTGCTCTCTCCTGTTAATGGTTAAATTATAATGAACTTTTTCACCCTTGCCTGGAGATGTCAACTCTTTAATTATGTCGATCCTGACAACACATTCTCCACAAGCGACTACTGACAAACCAAACGCTGCCAAAGAAATCAACTGTGCAAGTGTGCCCTAAATAAATGAATATAAAGGGGATAAATGAATTACTTCATCTGTCAGCCATCAAATCTAAATGATATGCAAGCACCATGGGTCAGCAGATTACCACTAGAAAGCTAAGCACCTCTAATGTGAAAATGAAGCTTTCCCAACATTATAAGGAAAACATATTTTTTCTTTCCTTTTCCTTTCTTTCTTTTGTATTATTTTGTTTGTTTGTTTGTTTGAGATATTTGTTTTAGATAGAGTCTCTCTACAAAGCTGTCCTGGAACTTACTGTGTAGACCAGGCTGACCTTGAACTCACAGAGATCTGCCTGCTGAGATTAAAGATGTGTGCCACCATGCCCAACCTGGGAAACATCTTAACAGTGAACCAACAAAGACATTCTTTTTATTTATTTATTTTTTATTGTGAACTAGAGAGATAGCTCAGCAGTCTTTTCTCCCCTGGAAATGGGACAGTTGTGAACTGCCATGTGGATACTGGGAATTGAACCCAGGTCTACCAGAAGAGCAGCCACTGCTCCCAACCACTGAGCCATCCTGCCAGCCCCAAATACCTTCTTTATTTACCTAAAGACACCTTTTACCTTTTTTATATAAAATTAAATGAAAACAAAATACAGACAGAATCACCGTTGCTCTGTTTAAAAGCCTGTAGTGTTCATGTTATTCATCACTATGTCCCGGACACCATGTGATGTCTGGAAGGAAGTAGGCGCACAACTCCTAACTAGAGAGTCCACGAGTGACACTCCAAAATGAAAGAAATAAAAAGTGACAAAAATCAAACTTCTAAGAAATGTTCAGGTAAGGCATGGAAGCCCAAGCCTACAATGCCAGCACTCAGGAAGCTGAGGCAGGAGGATCACAAGTTCAAGTCTAGTCTGGGCTAATGAGACCCTGTCTTAAAAATAACAAAATGTCTAACATGAATTATGTGATGGCACCAATAACCACACATCACTGGTGATTTCTGGCTCATTTCCCATCTCCATCTTTGAAGGGGAGCCCGAGTTGCTAGGGTGCAGAGGGCTAAACACAGACAGAGCTTTGCTCTGAAACATGACTACTGCAGCAACAAGAGGTGTGGCGACAAGCCAGAGGCCTGGCTGGGGCCGCGTCTCCCCACTTACCGATGATTTGACTTTCCCAGCGTCAACTCTGTCATACAGTGGTGTGCAGTACACAATCAGCAGGAGGAGGCTCAGGAGGAAGGCGCTACAGCTCACAAATTCAAAGAAGTACAAGCCTCCGCACAGCGTGCACTCGAACACAACCTCTTCGCAGATGAAGGCCAGCAGGGACAGCAGCTGCAGAAGGAGACCACGTGACCTCAGGGAGGCAGATAACCCACGACATGTGACCTCAGGGAGGCAGATAACCCACGACAGTCACAACTACATGGACGCGGTGCCTAGTGGCACGTGCCTGCAAACCCAGACACTTCGGAGGCTGACGCAGGAAGATCAAAAGTTCAAGGCCAGCCTTGCCAAGACAGTGAGGCCACCCCCTTCTAAAAAACAATTAAACTCACTGTCTGTTCAGTCAGATATTTGTAAAGTAGAGATTGGGGCAGACAAGATTAGCAGACAAACTTGATCAACAGAATTTACAGCCTGCATACACTGGTTAACTACTGTGTGTCAAACACAGAGACTCATAAATGAGAGAGCACCGTAACAGCCAAAAAAGAGGACTTCCAGGACAGAAGGCTGAGTGCCACCATGCACTGCAAATCTTTTTCTGTTTTTTTTAATGTGCTGTGATGAAGGAATCAGTGGGAGAGTTAGGCAGAGGTACAGTTGAAGGCAAATGGTGAGACTAGAGATCAGCGGAAGTGTGGCTGCACAGAGAGAGAGAGAGAGAGAGAGAGAGAGAGAGAGAGAGAGAGAGAGAGAGGGAGAGGGAGGGAGAGGGGAGAGAGAGGGAGAAATCTCAGCATTTGGGAGGTCAAGAATCAAGAGTTCAAGGACAGCTTCAACCTATAAGAAGCTCTGTCTCAAAACACAAGTTATATCCAAAAAAGAGAAAAGCCCTGTGAAAGGTTGTCAGCTCCCAAGAGGGTTTGCAACCCACAGGTTGAGAACAACTGTTCTAAGGGAAACTTCCCACCTCACAACTAAAAAGATTTTACGCCAGAACAAAAATAGACATCTTTGCTCTGGTTTCCTGTGAAGTTAACCAGACATAAAGTTGTTATGTGATATTTTGATTGTGTTCTGTCAAATAAAGCTCGCCTGAAGTCAGAGGGCGGAGCTAGCCACTAGCTGATCATAGAGGTTTGGAGGACTACAGACAGAGAGGAGACAGGAAGTAGTAAGGCAGGGCGGAGAGGGGATCTCAACCTTTTTGGACAGGGGAACAGTAGAGATAGGAAGCAACTGGCAACTGCTCCCTGTTCTCTGATCCTTCAGGTCCTTACACAGATATTTGACTCCCAATTTTTTATTGATAAAGATTAATTAGATTAACGCTTCATGAAGTAGACACCCCATCATGAACAATGTTGATGGAGTCAACATATATGCAAACAAAAAACTCATATACATAAAATAAAAATACACCCATGTGTATAAAAGTCAGTTGAAGCCAGGTTGGCGAGAACTCCTGCAATCCCAGCACCTGAGAAGCAGAGGCAGGAAGATCAAGAGCTCGAGGTAATTCTTGGCTAGAGTTCTAAGCCAGATGACTGAGAAAACTTTCAATGGAGGATTCTGTTTGGCTGCTCTTGACACACTCCTGTGAGGCTGCAAGACAGTGATGCCTGACCTGCAGCACAGACACAGGGTGCCTGTCTGGAAAGAGGGCAGGACTGCTCCCCAGAAGCAGAGGGTCCCAGGCCACCAGCAGCCCTGCTCTATGTACTAACAGAGGCATTCTTACTGACAAGAGGCCGGCTCTGCCTGGCCATCCTAGAAGAATGATGGGGTTCAACATCCAGGCTAAACACTGACTAGTTCTATCTCTCTGTTTTAAAGGCCAAGAACTTAACATCACACACACTACCGTCAATATGAAACTCTCCTCCCTCTACAGTTCTTTTAGAATCACCCTCAGCACTATTCCCTTTAGTACTGAGTGTGCTCTAATACTATGCATCAACAATGGGCATGTGTATGAGCATGTAATGATAGAGCAACACAGGAAACAATACGCAACAATACTTTCTACCACACAACTGAGCAGTCCTCGTGGAAGTTGAGAAACTTTCAGGAAATGCCCAGAGTAGCCAGAGAAGGATGGATGAACACACAGGACTCAAACCAGGGCTGAGACACACATGAGTAGGAGAGGACATTCCCAGTTGGAGGAGAAAGGACAGACTCATGAGGGCAAGAACTTGCCCGGTGAGTCCAGAGGGGTACTGACCTAACTAGATGGGAATGGCAAGAAATGTGAAAGGAGTGGGTGTGGCTATGTGATGAGAAATACAGGACTCCATCAACATTGTTCATCCAGAGAACAGATTCCCATCTGGGCTTACAGAAGAACCTGAGCTAGTCCTGTATGGTGTAAGTCTGTCCCCTTAAACATCTTTAAAAGTGTCTGGCATTAGTTAGAAGGCATCATCCTCTATAAATTACATGTACTTAGAGAAGAGCACACTATTAAAAACAGTTTTAAGAAGCTGGGAGGATGGCTCAGTGGTTAAGAGCACTTACTGTTGGCCTACAATCACCTGCAACTCCAGACTCATGGGATCTGACATCTCTGACTTCTGCAGGTACCTGCATTCATATGCACATAGCCTCACAAAACACACACACACACACACACACACACACACACACACACACACACACACACACCAGATCTAAAAAAAAAAGTTTAATAATAACATATAACTGAAGCCAGGCACAGTGGACATGCCTATAATCCCAGCACTCAGAAGACCAAGGTGGGAGGACACTGTAAGCCTGAGCTACACAGCAAGCCTCAGGCTAGCCTGGGCTACACTGTGAGAACCTCTCTCAAACAAAACAAAAGCTGGACATGGTGGTACACCCTACAATCCCAGGGCTTGGGAGATAGAAGAAGAAGGATCCTGAGTTCAGGGACACCTTCAGCTATTTTCTGAATTAAGGTCAATCATTTAAACAGGGCTACATGAGACCCTGTCTCAAAACAAGAAAAACCATAAAGGCTGTGCAATTACAAAGACCTAAGTTTGATTCCCTAGAATCCACATTAATAAAAAAAGAAAAAAAAAAAGCTGCAAGCTGAATGTGAACAACTATAATCCCAGCACTCAGGAGGCAGAGGCAGAATTTAAGACTGTTTCCTGGGTTGGGGATTTAGTTCAGTGGTAGGGCGCTTGCCTAGCAAGCGCAAGGCCCTGGGTTCGGTCCTCAGCTCTAGAAAAAAAGAAAAAGGAAAAAAAAAGACTGTTTCCCAGTTACATGGGGAATTCAGGGCCAGTCAGGACTACACAAGACTTTGCCACCAAAAAAAAAAAAAAAAGAGGAAAAGGGAGGGTGCAGCTGCACCACCCAGGACCAGAGCCCTGGGGAGGTAGAAACAAGCCAGCCAGTACAGCCCAATCAGCAAACTTCAAGTTCCAGAAGAGACCTGTCTCCTTGAGGCAGACACCCAGCATTGACTTCTGCCTTCCACACACACACACACACAGCACATGTGGGCACACACACAAACCAATATAGTTCACGCAGCTCACAATCACCTGTAACTCCTTCTTTTTGCTTCTGGAGACATCAGGCATGCACATGGTACACAGACACACATACAGGAAAAACATAAAAATTAAACAAATATAAATTCTAAAAAATATGAATTCATTTTGGATAGCAATTCAGTTTCATAGTATGATGCTGGCAACAGTAAATGTTTTTCAATCATATGTGTAATCTAGAAAAAGATGATATAAATCCATTTTAAAAACCTTTCAGACTGTGAGGACAACATGATGGCTCAGAGTAAAAACACTTGCTGTACAAACCTGATGACCCGACTTCAATCCTAGAACCCCCAGAAAGGTGGAAAGGGAGAACTGAGTCCACAGAGCTGTCCTCTGACCGCCACACACATGCCATAGCATGCACACCCATCTGCACATATCATGTACACAATGACCTCCACACACGCCATAGCATGCACACCCATCTGCACATATGTACACAATGACCTCCACACACATGCCATAGCATGCACACCCATCTACATATCATGTACATGAATACACACAATAAATTTAAGTTAAAACTTAATTGATAGACTGGTTCATGTAGTGATTTAAACATTAAAACTCAAATGAATTCATCAAACATTTAAAAAATAACAAAATAGGAACATAAGAACAAATCTACAAACAGAATAAACCAAAAGTCCAGTTGCATAAAATTTAAGATTTTAGCCCAGTGGTGGTGGTGTGGTGGTGGTATACATCTTTAGTCTCAGCACTCAGGAAGCAGAGGCAGGCAGATCTCTGTGAGTTCAAGGCCAGCCTGGACTACAGAGCTAGTACCAAGACAGCCAAGGCTACACAGAGAAACCCTGTCTAGGGGGTGGAGGTGGGGGTTGGGGGGCGGGTTCCAGTAGCTCCTGACAACAGTGTTTCAACACTCATTCATCGCTCAGCTCTGGAAAGGTGTGAGACAGTGAGACCCACCTTTACATTTCTAGACAAGCCTTTGACAGAATGCAGGTCAGATCTGAGTGACAGACACAGCAGCATAATTCCAAGAGCTAGACAAGCTAACCTCCTGTGCTTGCAAGTTCACCCTGTGCCCCTTGGTATTTAGCTTGGTAACCTCAAGCCTGGAGCAGCCTGAGAGATCTACAGGAAAGACGCTAGAGGTGACGCAGCCCCGCCTCTCACGGCTCTGAAGGGAAAATCCCCCAAGTCCACTGTTTCACAGTGGCTTCTTTCCTCTTTGGAATCTCGGAATCTGTTAAGATTTATGGACCCAGAATAACAAATCACACACATACATTCTGAATACATTTCTCAGGGTTTAGAAGTTCTTTGTTAACACACTGTGCCGCCTGTTCCGATCACGGTGTCTCCACACCCTGTTTTCTTATCAGAGCTTTGCAATTCTATTAGACTTGAAATCAACTGAAGACACCGAGAATGTCGGAATATAAGGTGAAGAAAGTTTTGCCTACAGCTCTCATCCTGGATGAATTTTTTTATGGACCTCACATATAACTTTCTTGGGACTTTTGGAATATCTCTGTAGTATATTTTCATTGTTAATAGGTAAGACATTATTAAAACAGAAAAAACAGGAACAAAAAGGCAACCATAAAAATGAAAAAGTAGCTGGGCAGTGGTGGCGCACACCTTTAATCCCAGCACTCAGGAGGGAGAGCCAGCACTCAGGAGGGAGAGCCAGGCGGATCTCTGTGAGTTCGAGGCCAGCCTGGGCTACAGAGTGAGTTCCGGGAAAGGTACAACGCTACACAGAGAAACCCTGTCTGGAAAAACAAAAAACACACACACACCAAAAAAAAAAAAAAAGTGTGTTTAAAGTTCTGTGTTAAAGAATGCATGCCTGGAGCTGGAGAGATGGCTCAGAGGTTAAGAGCACTGACTGCTCTTCCAGAGGTCCTGAGTTCAATTCCCAGCAACCACATGGTGGCTCACAACTATCTGTAATAAGATCTGGTATCCTCTTCTGGCCTGCAGGCATACATGCAGGCAGAATACTGTATACAGAATAAATAAATAAATCTTTAAAAAAAAATTCAAAAAACAA